GTCTTTGATTGTATGAGTCAAAAAAAATAATCCAGCTATGAAGTGCTTACCAGAATAAGAAACAGAATCTAAAGTGATAGCCACAGTGATGTTTGCTACATCCATGCCTCCAGAATCACTCCTCCTTTTGAGGTACTCTTCTCAGCTGGATAGGAAAACTGAATTTCTTCCCTCATGCTCCTGCTTTACCTTTGCTGACCAGGAGTTAGTTTGTGGTAGTGGTGCATATGGACTCCTTTGGTCCACAACTTAAAAAGGAGTGGGAGGCTAGAAGAAAGAAACCAGAAAGTGGAAGAAGCAATTAGGAAAGATGAGGTTGTAAAAGCCCTGGAGAAGCCACATCTAGATTCCCAATTTGAGCTAACTGAGCATAATGTAAAGTGTCAAACCTTGTTGCACATTAAAATCAAGAAAAATAAACTAGAAAAAAGGCAAATGTATAGTTACTGTAGCCTTGTTGCAGTAAGGAAATTATAAAGTATATATGTACAGTAATTACTCGTTTAACACATGCCCGCTTAACATGTTTTCGCGATAGCACGATTTTTGGGGGGAATGTTTTTTGAACCCATGACCGTCCCTGAAATAACATGGTTTCCCCAGCTGGCCAGTCGCCAATGGCTGTGCAGGGCTTCCCCTGCCTCCCTTCAAAGCGGTGGAGGGTTTGTTGCTCACCACACTCCTGCCTCCCTTCAAAGCGGTGGAGGGTTTGCTGCTCACCATACCCGCCTTGCTCCCTCTCCTCCGACCCAGCTTGTAGGCCAGCGGCTGAGTTTCCCCATTCTCCACCACTTGAAATGCAACCCCCACCTTTTCCATTATTTTCAATGGAAAAATTGGCCCCGCATAACACGTTTTCACTTAACATGATCATTTTCTGAAACGTATCTACCATGTTAAATGAGGAATTACTGTATCTATTTTCTGTGATACGGCATACGGTTTTATGCATCTTGTTCATGACAAAGAAATTATGAATTTTGGTCCTTTTAACACTCATGATGAAGGCCTTCCCTATGAATTTAGGACTAAACACTGCTCTTACGTCTACTTATCTATATCCAGAGTAGCTACAGTGGAGAATTGAAAAAACTTTTAAAGAGAACAGAAAAAAAGATAATTAAGTTGATGCTCCTTGTACAAGGGAGAGAAAAAGTGAAAACTATTAACTTTTTGAGGTTCAGTTGCTAGGACCCTAAATTACCAACTAAATGCATGTTTTTAATGCTTGAAACTATGCAACCCTTTGGATCGTGACCTCTTAGTGCATGCTTTATGCTTAGGTGCCTGCATTTATTTTTTCCACTGAGTAACTAATAGAAAAGTATTTAAATCACAGTGAATCCTCACTGTGCTTAATGAATTGCTTTAAGTTACTGAACTGTTAAGTCAACTTACAAATTTTTTACAAGAGGTGAAATTATAATGTGATAAAACTTAATGACTATGTAAAGCATAAAGATGCAGCACAGTCTAAATCATGAAACAAAATACAGGACTATGTAGCACTTTAAAGACTAACAAGATGGTTTATTAGGTGATGAGCTTTCATGGGCCAGACCCACTTCCTCAGATCAAATAGTGGAAGAAAATTGGCACAACCATATATACCAAAGGATACAATTAAAAAATGAACATATATGAAAAGGACAAATCAAATTTCAGAACAGAAGGGGGACGAGGGGGGGAAGTAAATGTCTGTGAGCTAATGATATTAGAGGTGATAATTGGGGAGGCTATCTTTGTAATGGGTAAGATAATTAATGTCTTTGTTTAGACCGTCTAAATTATCTTACCCATTACAAAGATAGCCTCCCCAATTGTAATTTTACTCAATAAGTTTGATTTAAAAAATGAAGATCTTGCAAAACAAACAAAAAACTGTAATCAGAAAACACTCCTAATGGAGTGCCACAACCACTACTACTTGTCCCTATCCTTTACTGTGCATGTGTTGGACACTTACATTCACAAAAAAATCTGGAATGTAAGCACTTCTTAAATGGCTTGGTATGCAGATAATGGGTAAAGTTTTCAAAAGTGTGAAAGTGATTTAGGAGGTTTAGTTCCATTTTCAAAAGAGTCTGAGGCACTTAAGTCTAAATCCCATTGACTTGACTTTGAGAGAGGAACCTTGAGTTTCACTAAGTGTAGATGAGGCCTGCTTTGACATGAGAAATTAACACATGGAGGGAGGCCTCATTTTTTGAAGATAGAATTAGGAACACAAATGAATGAAAAAATGTTTAGAACAGCAGGCTAAGAGAAGAGGATATCTGAGCCAATTAAGATAAGAGGGAGAACACTTATTTACTCTGAACTAGATAACAAGGCACACAATAAGTAGAGACAACATAAAGAGGAAGTTGAAGCATAGACAAGACTGTGGAGAGTGCTTGCTGTACAGGGATTGGTTCCTGTGAAGAAAACAAGTCAATTCAGCAATTCACCGGAGCACTGAAATTCAATTCTCTGGTACTACAAACAAAAAATTGTAAAACTGCACCAACACTAGTGAGCAAATTCTACTCTCAATAACACAGGACTAAAACCTGGAACAACTTTTCTGAACCCAGTGAAATGCTGTGTGTATGCTGGTTAGACCAGCTTTTGTATACCATGTATACACACAATGTCACAGAACAGAGTGTATAATAACAAGCTTGATTCAGCCACCATGAACCTATTGGAGTCTCTGAGATCTAAGGGTGCCAAATGCTTCCCAAAAATTTTCCAGTGGAATGTTTTTTCCATTGGAAAATGTCTATTTGATGAGCATAGAAACACTTGAACCCCCTTCGAATAAAATATTTCAGTAAGTCAAATAATGTTTTGTGAAATGTGTTCAGTGGCATAACTCACTAAGATTAAATAGCTTCAGAAGGGTAGCCGAGTTAGTCAGCAAGAGGAAAAACTTAAAAAACAACAAATAGTCTTTAAGGTGCTGTTAGACTAACAAAACATATAGATGGTATCATGAGCTTTCATGGGCATAGCCCACTTCTTCAGATGAGAGGAGTATTAGAAGTAGGATACTTTATTCTATATTGAGAAGAGGTAACTTATCTTCAAATATTGGAAAATAAAACTAGAATTGACAGATCTTGTGAATTTATCTTATTAGGATCATTCATTACTGCTAACTTTGTGCAATAGAGCAGGTAGTTTGGTTAATTAACCTGATCAGCTACACCTGGGGAAGAACCAGGGATTGAAAGGCTGATTGATGGCACCTAGTTGAGAAGGAAGTGGTTAAGCACAGACAGTAAGAAAGCAGTGTAAGAGACTTGGAGGTAAGAAGTGGCCATGGGGAACTGAAGTACATCTGAAGGAACAGACATAACTTCACAAACCTGGAATAGAGCGTGTGCTGGGGATTCCCTGTCAGTTCTAAAAAGGGGGCATTGTAGCTTGATGTAAAGACTGTTGAGCTTAGGGCTGACAACTGAGCTTCAAGACCCAGCTGAGGAAAAGCCTGAGAGTTGGCAAAAAGATCTTTTGTTGTGTTAGAGTTTATTCTATCAGAAGATGTGGAAACAAAAATGTGACTTAGCTAGAGGTTGTAGTAAAGCAGGCTTTTTCTGTCCCTGGCTTTCGCGTATAGCCCATCCTGCCACACAAGGCCCCTCACAGAAAACCCAGGCAGTGAGATACTCAGAGGAGCATGGGAAGCACAATGCAGTTTTCTGTGAACGGAATTTGACCTTACAGGCATCCTGAGACTCACAGGCACCAGAAAACAGGGAGGTGATCATGACTAGATAGCGCCTAGCTGCAGTTACAGATAAGCCTTGTTTGACCATAGCTTGACCGGTCTTAGAGGCAAGAGAAAAAGAAAACATAAGGTAATAAACCACAACTATCTCTCACTAACCATGCCCTATCTAGTCCTGTCCACGAGGGGATCACGCATACATCACGAAAACTCCTATAAGGCAGTATTGTCATACTACCTCATCACTAGCCTATCAGGCCCTGCCAAATGCAGACCCTAGCATGGCATTAGACACTGAATTTTTGTATAAAAGACCCGCAACCCCTTTGTTCGACGGAGGTTCCATGTATTGAGGGAATGTGTCTTTTTTTTGCCTGGCTAAAGGATTAATCGCCCTGAGGCTGCCTCCCCACCCTTCGAGTCAAAGATAGGGGTGCTCAAGTCCTGACACCCTTCGAGTCAAAGATAGGGGTGCTCAGTGGAGTTAGTCATAAATGTACTTTTACAACTTAACAACTCCGGGGCTTCTATTTCTAACACCTAAATACTTAACCTAAATACAACACTACTACACAACACAATTTCACTGTGTAATTCTGTAAAGTGTATCTAAGTTCTGTTAACCACGTTGTGTAAATTGTATAATTTTGTGTTGTATAGTAGTATTGTATTTAGGCTAAGTATAAGTGTTAGAAATAGAAGCCCAGGAGTTGTTAAGTTGTAAAAGTAGATTTATAACTAACTCCACCACCTGCCCTAAAATAACCATAGAGGGGCTGGCTTTGGATGGAGTTTTTATTATCATTATATTGGCTTTGTTTTTGTATTTTTCGTTTGTATGCTGCGCTGCCTTAAGCAAACCCAGTAAAAGCATTGGGCAATTGCTAGTTTAAAAAGCCATTTGCTAATTGTTAGGTTTGATAAAAAAAATCATTCCACTTAATAAAAATAATTTGTTTCACCATCATCCAGTAGTTTTCACTGGGTAGTTGGCTTTAACCCTTGAGGTTTCCATCACATCAGGGAACCAAAGTGTAACAGAGGTTAAGTCATGTGAAGAGACATATTACCTCAGGGCCAGAATGACCATCAGCACAGGAATAGTAATAGAAATGTAGCCATGTTATTCTAGTCTTGCTGAAACAAAAGACAGGACTATGTAGTCTTGTTTCAGCAAGACCAGACTAACACGGCTACATCTCTATTATTATTCTACATGCAAGACACTACATTTAGCCGTTTGAAATGGAAATCCATCAACCATATGAAAAAACTTGCACAGATCCAGAGTGCTGCATAGTCCTGTCTTTTGTTTCATCAACACAGGGTGACAGATAAAACAGCCGCTATGTTGTGCCTAGACCAGAAGGTACACACCCACAGTAAGTCCACTGTCCACACCTGGATATCTTTTTATACTTTTAAAATGTATTTTCAGGACAATTTGTGGAATTTAATGTCACTTCAGTTTTTGTTTGCTGTATAATGTTACAAAATGTTATTGCTGTAGGTTGCCTGCATGTTATAAAGGTCAACCAAAATTAATGGCATACATGACAAATTTGGCTCTGAGGTAAAATAAAAAGAGTTCTTGCTTCCTTTTGCTATATTTAGCCTTATTTCTTTGTTCTGCGTGTTATAGGGAAAAAAGGAACCTCAAATTACTATAGGCCTAGATAATTTTGAGCTTGCTGAGTTTCTCTTGGACTATTACATATCAATATATTACATATATTGAAGATTTCATATATTTAGGTTTATTTCTTCCTGTCACTTGCTAAGTTTCTTGGAAAATGAATGAATAAGAGAGCCGCTAGTTAGTTTCTAACTTGATGACACTACTAACTCAGCTCATTCAATGGCAAAGCGATATCCTTGTCTAGAAGTATTATTATGATGGCAAAAGAACAAATTAGTCATGTCATAGAATTTAAATATGTTGTACAATTTGGCTGGAGGAGAAGAAAACCAAAATTAAATTAGATTTACTTAAAGAAATTAGATATTATTCCTTCAATTTCTAAGTGTAAATCTATAATTTAGCTCACCAATTCTTATGTATAACAAAAATGGAATTGTTTTGCTTCTATTTGAATAGTGTGAGCAAAATCTTACTTTTTTTTATGTTGCATCAGATCTTCATTTGTCACAAATTGGCTTGGCTTCAATGGAGTTATGCTAATGTACGCCAGTTGACATTCTGGCCTCATTGTAAGGTTTACCTTGCTATTCTTCAATCTCACTTTCTTTTGATGTATGCATTGGTAAGTATGTACTTTATAATAGACTTTGAATGGAAGAACTGTAGTCCTCATTATAACATAGAGAACTAAGGAGATGCATAACTCTTTGCACTAGTTTGCACAATTTCAGCGATCTAAAACTTTCCTGACAAAACAAGATAGTCATCACCACCTCTTTGTATGCTACAACCTGCCTACAAATCCCATGATCCCTTTTAATATGATCTCAATTTTTTAACAAATATAGGGAATCCTGGCTCTGAAAAGTTTGTTGTATTTATAGAAACATGAATATTCATAAACTGCTTTGAGACTGTGTGGGGTTAAAGATGTTTATAGAAATACAGAGCCCTTTATGTAAAGCCTGGAATGAACAAGTGGCATAAATTCCCACTTTCTTTTCCTATTTGTGTGAATAACTTTTGAGTTTACAACTCCTCAGGTTTGGTTTTGTCTCTTTTAAAATTCTTCTGAGTGGAAAAATTTTCACTCATTCAAAGCAGGTGTAACCTTCCCATAACAAACATGTGGTTTTCCTTAATTATATTTCTTTGTCTTCCCACAAACCATCTGCACATTCCCGAAAGAGAGAACCCTTCATCAAGACCACCTATGATGAGCTTTTATCTTTTTACTTCTAGAGTTGTTTTTACGCTCTAGCTAAATTAATGCTAAAATTAATTAGCAAGTAATGGTTGCTTGAGAGTTTCTATTGTGAAGAGAATGGCATACAATTATATAAAAACAGTGTCTCCCCCCCATGTTTTCCCCAGTTGGAAAAATGCAACAGATTAGTAAAGTATTTTGCTTTCGAGTATGTCTACTCTTCATTCCTTGCTCAAGGGAGGAATGCATATGCAAACACCCAAAATTGTAAGAGAATTTCGAGAGAGAAAAAAAGAGAAGTAAGGGTTATTTCGAGAGAAGGGTTTTATCTCGAAATAACCCCATGCTTTTTCTCTCGAAATAGCTCTATTTTGAAATAGTTCCATAACGCGATTATGCAAGTGAAACGTGGGATATTTAAATCCCCGCTTCATCTGCAATTTCAGGTGTCTGCATTTGCATTCCTCTCTCGAGAGAGGAATGAAGTGTAGACATGGCCTACAGACAGTGAGGGTATCACCCAGGGTACGTCTACACTACAGTGCTAATTCGAACTAACTTAGTTTGAATTAGTTCGAATTAGCTTAGTTCGAATTAACTAACGCGTCTAGAACTAAAAACTAGTTTGAATTAGCATTTTGCTAATTCGAACTAGCATGTCCACATTAAGTGGACCGTGAACTGGGCTTAAGGATGGCCGGAAGCACTGCCGGCAGGGCATCAGAGGAGGACTTAGACCGTGGAGATGCTGTCTCAGGCTAGCCGAGGGCTGCGCCTAAAGGGACCCGACCCCCACCCCAGACAGACAGTTCTCAGGGGTGCCCCGCTTGAAAACCAGTCCTGGCTTGGAGTGCCCGGAGTGCCCACACTGGGCACATCACAGCACTCGGCCATCAGACCGGCTGCACTTGCCGCAGGCTGCCATCTGGGGAGAGGGGGCAATTGGGGGGCTGCAGGAGAGCTTCCACCCCCAGAAGCCCGCAGAGCCAGCCCAGTCCTCCCCATCGGGGGCTCGTACCCCATTCCTCCCTCACCTCCTTCCACTTACCCTTCCCTAGCCCCCCTTCCTGATGTACAAAATAAAGATAACGTTTCTTCCAACATTGACTCTGTCTTTATTGAAAAAAAACTGGGGGAGACTGGGAAAAGGAGGTGGGAGAGGGGAAGAGAAAGGCTGGGAGAAGAGAGGGCAACTAACATGATCAGGGGTTGGGAACAGGTCCCAGATGAAGAAAGGCTACAGAGACTGGGACTGTTCAGCTTAGAAAAGAGGAGACGGAGGGGGGACAGGATAGAGGTCTCTAAAAGCAGGGGTTGGGTGGAGAGGGTGCATTCAGAAAAGTTCTTCATGAGTTCCCATAAAGAAGGACTAGAGGACACCAAAGGAAAGGAATGGGTAGCAGGCTTCAAACTAGTAAGAGAAAGTTGTTGTTCACAAAGCAAAGAGTTAACCTGCGGAACTCCTTGCTGCAGGAGGCTGTGAAGGCTACAACTAGAACAGAGTTGAAAGGGAAGTGAGATCAAGTCATGGAGGTTGGGTCCATGGAGTCCTATTAGCCAGAGGGTAGGAGTGGTGTCCCTGCCCAAAGTTTGTGGAAGGCTGGAGAGGGATGGCACGAGACAAATGGCTTGGTCACTGTCTTCGGTCCATCCCCTCCAGGATCCCTAGGGTTGGCCGCTGTCGGCAGACAGGCTACTGGGCTAGATGGACCTTTGGTCTGACCCAGGACGGCCATTGTAAGCTCAGGGCTCAGGGTCGGGGGTCTCAGTGGACCCCCTTGATTTTCATGCACACCTGCGCCTGGGTGGCCAGGCTGGCAGCTCTCCTGCCCTAGACGGCCACTTTCCTGTGCCTAGTGCGGAG